TTTTTTTTTCCAAATGATTAAAAATGCGCCTTAATATATGTACATCATCACGATATAAAAAAAAATTAAAGAGCTCATTACAAGTGTCGTAAGTTTGAGCTCATAGTAACACTACTCAATTAATTAATACTGGTGTTGGACTGTGTAGGCTAGTAACGAAACAGGGCAGCTAAATCCAGTGTTTTGCGTAAATCGGAGTTTTAGGTCTTTGTAACTGGACGCATTACCAAACGTGACCTTATTATTATACTCTAATAGATATGGGATTAATAAAAAAGAATCTTATCCTTAAATAGATAATTAAGTATATATGCCTCGTGAATGTTAGTTTTGGAGTACTGTCTAAAATATGATGTACGCATTGGCTCGTGAATTTAGGTTCAAGATTGGATGAAAGATACATGGTGTCTAAATTTTTATTTATTTTCTTTTCTGGAAACATAAGGCCATACATAATTTAAAGTTGGAAGATAGCGTCTTTATGGAGAAATTATTAAGTGGTTTAGGATTCGGAATCATTGGTTTTGTGTCTATTATCGAATGATAAGGTAAGTGTTTACTTCTTTATGAAGAAATTATTAAATAGTTACAAGAGTATTGGTTTCGGTTAATCACCGATTCACAACTAAACAAGTGTTTAAAGGAGAGTATCATTGGTTTTGGGTCAATTATTGAATGACAAGTAAGCAAGTGTTTACTTCTTTTATGAAAAAATTATTAAATGATCTCGAAATTATTGGTGTCGGTCAATCACTGATTCACAATTAAGCAAGTATTTAAAGGAGTACCGATTATGCTATATAAGGGGAAGTACACTTTTTCATTACTAGAATGGTAATTACCATATATTAGTCATCAAGGTTTTTTTTTTTTTTTTTTTTTTTTTTTTTTTTTTTTAAGAGGGATTAATTTCCTTCTGGGTGATTTTTTTTTATTTTCCCAACCCATGTGTTAAGTTAGAGAATCCCAACAAAGGAAAGTATGATGACCTATTAATAATAGAGTAATGCTTTAAAAAACATTCATGAGAAGAACCATTATCTCTAATTTAAATGTCGCTTTTGGAAAGTAGTTATTTTTATGGGATCTGTGGAACATGCATTGTCTCCCTAAAAAATTATTAAATTACTCTTTTAAATTTTGAACATTTAAGTTTGAAATTTGAAATTTAAAATTTAAAGAACATATATGAAAAGATGTGAAATATATTGTTTGAAAAAGGGAAGTGGACAATTATTTTTGAACAGATAAAAAAAAGAAAAAATGACACTTATTTTAATATAGAGAGAGTATATTTTTTTTCTCGTTATTAGTGCTAGCATGAACCTCATGACAATTGCCATGAGAAATAGTAATAATAATGCACAAATTACATTATCATGTAATCCAGATTAAATGATCTCACAATAATAGTAAAAAATTAGCTCAAAAAATTATAAAATAAATTATATACAAGGGTCAAAGATCAAAGTTTATACGGGAGGAGAAACTCGAACAATGACACATCCGATCAATTGGGTAATGCTTGTTTAAATAGTTAGGCTCACACATTAATATTTATAATGACAAAATAACATAAAGTTCATAACAATTGTCACGAGTTTAACCTCATTATAGCGTTAATCATTCATGTGTACTTCATTTGTATATATATATATTTTTATAAATTAAAAAAAATACTAACATAATTGGCCTTCGAAAAGTCCATTGTGCAGTTATGTCTCACTTTTGAGGGGTGAATTTATTTAACAAATTAACCAAGCGTAAAAGTAAATTGTAAAACACAAATATAACATTCCTGACTAAAGCATTAACTCAAAGGTGCTTACTAATTACTAATGCAATAATTAAATATGACTTTAAAAAGTGTTGTATTATTAATTATAAATAGTGCTTGAAATAAAGATGAGAAGGAAAATTCCTTAAAAAGTACTCCTTAGTGGAAATGAGATTGCTGACATGGCACAACAGCTGTCAAGTCATAGCTTGAACCAGCTGGCCAGTCCCAAGTGCCCATTAAGATTCGCTCCTCAACTCACGAATTTTTTGTGTGTGGCGCATTGGATACCCACAAATGACACATCTCCATATTCCTAAACTCCCATATGCTGACCAACAGCTGGATTCTAAGTTACGCATCTCCATAAAAGTCTATACCCACACACCTTCCAACCTGTCACCAGTTCACCAACGTCTCTATTTAGTCCCCGTATTTTCCTACATTACCCCAATTAGATTCACCACCATGCCTCCACGTAGAAGGTCATTTTCGTCAATTTAGATTTCGCCAAATTCGAACTGTAACTAAGCTGTAATGGAAAGGACCACTCAAAAGATTTAAACCCATAGCCTTAAGTCATTAAATCCAATACAACGCTCTCGCATGCGCGTGCCAACATTTATAAGCCATTCCATAAACGCGTTTTGAGCGCGTGAAATTACCATCTACACTTTTTGGATAAAAACGCGTAATAGTACCGTTGTCACACACACCCACTTTTTTTTTTTTTTTGGGTGTCGAATCACACTCTCTCTTTCAGTCGCGAAGTAATTGCAATGCTTTTGACTATAGAGAGAGACAGCTTCATGTTGTGTTTCTAAGCAAGTTCGCCAACTGTACGCTTGAAAATTAAATATTACTCGTATGTACACAAGTGAGATAGAGAATGCTACCTATATATATATAGCCATTACACACACAACTTTGTATAACACAGACTCAACTCATCTTCTTTATCTACATTTTCTCTCTCTAGACATCCTCCGTCTTGGTTTGAAAATGGCTTCCATGGCATCAGCCCATTTCACTCTAACCCTTTTCTTGCTAGTGTCTCTTTTCAACATTTCATTTGCTGCGAGAAAACTCAGTGAGTTGGTCCAAGACCAGACTCAGCTCTTGAAATACCATAAAGGCCCTCTTCTTTATGGTAAAATCTCAGTCAACCTCATCTGGTATGGCAAGTTCAAGCCTTCCCAAAAAGCCATTGTCTCCGACTTCATCACCTCACTGTCATCCTCATCGCCGCAAAGCCAACCATCTGTTGCCACGTGGTGGAAGACCACCGAGAAATACTACCACCTGGCCGATTCTAAGAAACCCTCCTCGCTCTCACTCTCTCTGGGCAAACAAGTGGTCGACGAGAGCTGTACTCTAGGGAAGTCGCTCACACAGAAACAGATCGTACACTTGGCATACAAGGGTGATCAGAGCAATGCGATCAACGTTGTGTTGACTGCGTCTGATGTTACCGTTGATGGGTTTTGTTCAAGCAGGTGTGGGACCCATGGGTCTGCGAAGAGTACTACTGCCCAGGTTAAGGGCAAGAATTACAAGTTTGCCTACATCTGGGTTGGTAACTCGGAGACTCAGTGCCCGGGACAATGTGCTTGGCCTTTCCACCAACCCATCTACGGACCACAGAGTCCACCATTGGTTGCACCCAACAACGATGTGGGTCTGGACGGGATGGTCATCAACCTGGCTAGCCTATTGGCTGGGACGGCTACGAACCCATTTGGAAATGGCTACTACCAGGGTTCGGCGGGTGCACCGCTAGAGGCTGCGTCGGCTTGTCCTGGAGTCTATGCTAAGGGGGCTTACCCGGGCTATGCTGGAGACTTGTTGGTAGACCCTACCACTGGTGCTAGCTACAATGCACATGGTGCAAATGGGAGGAAGTACTTGGTTCCTGCTCTTTATGATCCTTCCACGTCGTCGTGTTCGACTCTTGTATAGCAGAAGTAGCTAGCTAGGCTAGATGAGGCCATAATACACGCCTATAGAGAGAATTCAATTTATTCATTTGTTTACTTATTTATCTTTTGTTATGCCATTTTATAATAATAATAGAATATCATATTATTCCAATTTTTTTTTTTTTTTTTTTTTTTTTTTTTTTTTTTTTTTTTTTTTGTGGAAAATGAAACAACTGATATAAATATTACTCCGTAAAATAATTACATAAGATGGGCCATTTCGCCAAAACACTAAAAGAGGGAAATAAAGTCCAAAAGCGACCCAAAGTATGGAAAGCCTAGTCATTAAAACAAAACTAATAATCGTAATTAATGGTTAATTAGTCGTTAAGTGAGGTTGTTAGGGCACGATTCGGTGAGAACCCTAACAGAGGATGATGGTTGATCATCATCTGAGAGTATATCAATCCAATGGTATTGGAGGAGGGCGACAGTGAGTAGGCAACAAATTCCAATCCCTGAGAATTTGCCTGGAAGATTGATTATCTTTCAAGAACCCCAACTTAGCAGAGTTGCGACTGTAGAGTTTATTCTTGCAAGTACCACTCTCTGAGTTGACTTCTTCTTCTTGAAGATCCTCTCATTTCTTTCTTCCTAAGTATGGTACACCATGGATGAGAGGCAAACTTTCCGCAATAGGTTTATGGGGGTGTTCCTTTTCCATTGAGTGCTTATGGAATGAATCAGGTCCTCCCAATTTGTAATTGGGGTTCTGAATTTACATTTGATTTTGATGAATCGCCATATTGGGGAGATGAAGCTGCAATTGAAGAAGATATGCTGGTGTAATTCAAGGTGATTTTGGCAAAGAGCACATACATTTTCATGGCGTGACATTGATTTGCAGTCAAGAGTTGGGAGTCTGGATTGAACTGCTAGCCAAAGGTTAAACTTCATCCTGGGTATTGAAGGTGATCTCCATACTAGATTGTGCTAATGTACTTCAGGAGAGTGCTCTGCAAGATGGCTTGTTGTGCGTTTGAGGCTATAGTGACCATTTGGGGAAGCAGTCCATAGTTTTTTTTATCACTTCTGGAAGTGCATGGAGGTGGTAGTGAGAGCAGCTCTGGAATAGCATTTGTAAGGCTAATGGGAAAAGACCACGATGAATTCAGAATGAAAGTATTGACTATAATTGTATCAGTGAATCCTTAGTGGGTATCTTGTGCCGAGGGGGCTTCTAGAGATCCAGTTGTCCCACCAAAAGGCTGTAGCATTGCCATTACCAATTCTGTGTTGGATGATTAGCCTTGCAGGATGCCTGAGCTGTAGAATCTTCGTCCAACTCCAAGAGCAAGGCTGAGGAATCTTGAGGGTCCATAGGTTCCTTGACTTAATGAGGTTTGTGTTACACCAAGTGACCCACAACCTGTTGCTCTCATTGGTTTGTAGGTCCAAATATACCTTAGGATATCAGCTTTATTGGTGAGCTCCAAATTTGGGATGCCAAGGCCACCTTCCTTCTTAGGTTTGCATACCATCTCCCAAGTAACTTTTGCTCCACTAGTCTTCATCTCTGGACCAAACCACAGGAAGGATCTTAGAATTTGGTTGAGCTCATTGATGACTACCTTTGGGAGGATGAAAAGGCTTGACCAATAGATTTGTGTTGAAACCAAGACTGCTTTTATGAGCTGAAGTCGACCAAAGTGATCTTGCAGACCAATATGTGATTCTATTTGTGATCTTCTCAATAAGTATGCTGCAATGTTGTGCCTTTAAGTTTGTGAAAATGAGTAGGACACCAAGATACTTCACTGTGAGGGTGCTTAGACCAATACTAAACAGTGATGTGATTTGTGATTGAGTGTAAGGATGAGTTCCAGAGAAGAATACATTACTTTTGGAGAGATTTATGTCAATACCAGACATGCTGCAAAAGTGATCAAGGGTTGATTTCAAAATTGAAAGAGAAGTAATGTCTCCATGGCACAGAAGAAGGAGGTCATCAGCGTAGGAAAGATGTGTAATCTTCATTGCTCCACATCTCCAATGATATTTGAAGGTATGAGTTCTTCTCAAATAATCATTAATAATAGATGACAAAACATTTATCACATTGACAAATAGGAAGGGGGAAATAGGGTCCCTTGTCTCAGCCCTCTTTTGCCTTTGAAAAATTCCTGGAATTCCCCATTTAAGGCAATGGTGAATGAGGGTGTTGATATACAAGCTTATATTAATGAGATGAATTTGGGAGGGAAATTCAGGAATGAGAGGCAACTTAGAACAAAGTCCCATTTCACAGAGTCAAAAGCTTTCCTTAAATCAACCTTGATGGCACATCTAGCAGGGGAAGAGTCCTTATGGTACCTTCTGAGTAGCTCATGAGCTAGTAGTATAGGGTTTGTGATCTTCCTTCCATGTATGAAGGCTACTTGTGACATATCAATGAAGTGTGGTAATGTGGACTATAGCTTGGTTGCAAGCAATTTGGCTATACACTTGTAGACAGTATTGCAGCAGGAAATAGGTCTGTTGTAATACCTCTAATTTTAAAAGGATAGTCTCGGTATTTAATTAATTATTTTATTACATTTTTATTTGATTATTTGCTTATTTGCTGAATTGTTTAATTATTTTTATTTAATTGAATTAATTGGTTAATTATTTATTTAATTGAATTAATTGATTAATTGTTTATTTAATTGAATTAACTGGTTAATTGTATTATTTAATTGATTATTTGATTTATTTGTTTTATTTACATTTATGCTTAGGTGGACTTAGTTTAAGAATGAATTTAATGTAATATATAGTTTAGGGTTTTATATTTTTTTAGGAAATCATATGGTGGCCGACTAGTTTTATATTTAGTGTAGGTTTCCGTCTTTTAAAATAAGTAGAATTAGGTTTTGGTTAAAGCCTATATAAAGAATAGTATACTTTTGTTTAGGGTTAAGAAAAACCCTATTCATGTATACAGAGAGTTCGTGTTTACAGAGAGAGACTTGAGAGGAAAACAGAGTAAATCGGTTAGGGTTTCGGCCATAGTTTAAGATTGGACCAAGGAGAAAGGAAGGTGATTGCTCGTGGGTTGAACCAAGGGGTAACAGAGGAGGAGAACAGTGAAGGATCGCCGAAAATTTAGGAAAACGACGCTGAGATTTTAATTCAAAATCTCACAAGCAAGTTCAATTCTTGACTCTCTCCCTTAGGCTTCGTGTTCTTTACCTGTCTAAATAATTCCAGGACTAATTGAATGATTAAATTTATTTGTCATGCATGTTATAATCTGATAACAACAGTATGTGTGCTAATAAATTTACAATTGTTTGAACTTGCGTTGTCTTGTATAATCATCTGTTTAAATTAATGTCAGTCATACATTATGGACTTAAACACAGGCTGGAATAATCTGGGACTTAGCTAAGACTGCTAGGAACCTTAACAAAGAGGTACTGGATGTATGGAAGACGCTAGAGAAGGGAAAAACGAAGCAGAGGAGGGAGAGAGCCAGCTCCCTCTTGGAGAGAGCCAGCTCACATGGAGTGGAGGCGGCTCCCCTTTGTAGGGAGCCGGCTCTAGGGCTTTGGGAGGCGGCTCCTTAACCTAGGGAGCCGGCTCCATGAGGTAAGGAGGCGGCTCCCTTGGTTAGGGAGCCTGCTCTTTGCTGATTTTATTTTATTTTTATTTTTATTTATTAATTTTTTTTCCAATTTCGGTGAGTTTTTCTCTATTGTTGTTGGATTTTTGATGTTCCAGATGTAATTGGGAGCTGTAATTGAGAATTTAAATGTTGTCTAGAGTCAAATTAAAACTCCAGAAGGCAAGATAATGCATAATGAAACACTTAGTGTTAATAGCTTGATTAGTATGAAATTATTAAATAAATTTGCATACTGTTTGGATCTGGATGTTTTAAATTTCTTATCTATATTTTTGAAATTTTCTGGGAATGGTTATACAGTTTAATCATGTATAGTTGGCAGCAAATAAGCATGTTAATTAGTATATTTTTATTATGCTTATCATGGATTAATGGATGGTTATCCCTGTTATCTGTACTGTCACTTGTTGGATAATCTTGTATCAGTGGTTAAGATAACCATATTAATTTTTCATATTCTTATTATGCTTATTATGGATTAGTTGATATTTATATTTTTATATGTATTATCAACTACTGGATTTATAGATTATATGCACTGGTATGGGACGGTGGCATATTAGGGGGATTAGCTCAAAACGCTAAGTCCTACCTACTATGGGATAAAGGAATGGATTAACTATAAAGTTAAATCCTATTGATTTGTCGTGTCAAGGCAACGAATAGTTGAGCGGCATTACTATGGTTTTTGGATGCATTTTAAGTATATAATTATGGTACCTCGCTATGAGCTTGAGTCTTAGGATCGACAGTTAGGGAGCGTATATACATTGGGATGCATAGTTGGCTATGATAGTTGGAGGTGTACCCTGTTAGGTCTAGGTACTCATGCCCACTTCAGGTGCGTTTTGCATGTTACCTACTAGTCAGGTTGAGACTGACCTGTAGTCCAGTAAGAGTCCTTTAGTGTGGATATATATATATATATATATATATATATATATATATGTGGACTACATAGTTATTGTTGGATTATTTATGATGTACATGCGTATCGGGTCTCTGCTTGGATTGTAGTAGTATAGAACTTGCTCACGGGCCTAACTCACTCTTATTTTTTCAGGTATCAGGCAGTTTTAGTCTTAGAGCTTGATCGAGTTGAGCAGAGACAGTCACTCATTCTTCCGATTATGTAGGACTGTTTCTTATGTTTCAGTTTTACCTTTGGAATTTATTTTAGTTGTTTACATTTCAGTTTGGAATTTTTATTAGGGGTCCACTAGAGATGGATTCCCGAATTGTTTAATTATTGGAGGATATTTATGGAGGTTTGGATTATTGGATTTTAATCATTTAATTTTAAGAAATATATTTTAGATATCTTTTCAGATTTATTTATTTATTTATTCATTATTTCGTTCGGTATTCCGTGTTTATTTAAATATTAATTGTTTGGTATCCCTCGGATCTGCGCTCGGACTTGATCACCCGTGGCTCTAGAATCGAGGGGTATCACATCTGTAGTCATGCATAGAGGAAAGGTTTAGGCATTTAGGAACCAGGGCAATATATGTATTGTTGGCTTCAGAGAGCATCTTTCCATTTCTGAAAAATTTAGAGATAGCATTAGTAACAGATCTCCCCACAATTCCCCAAGTCTTGTGAAAGAATGAAGCACTATAGCCATCTGGACCAGGAGCTTTGTTTCTGCTGAGCTTGAACATGCAAGATTGAATTTCCATGTGTGATGGAATCTCTTTTAATAGGGAGTGAAAATGATCAGGGATTTTTTGGTTATGAGGTTCTGAAGATCAGTGATACAATGTGTTGAAGGAGTGGAACTGCCAAGCAATCTTTGGAAATGAGCCACCACTTCAAGCTTGATTGCATCTATGTTTGTGATCATAAGACCAATGTCTGTGGTGAGGGAAACAATCTTCTTTTTATTGTTCCTTGAAGAGAGTGACTTGTGAAAATATGAGGAATTACAATATCCTAATTTAAGCCAAGTCATTCTTGATTTCTGCCTCAGCATGTCTTCTTGGCAATTTGTAAGAAAGAGATATTCTTTTGTCAGTGATTTTTCCAAGTGTCTGAGAAGGTTGTCACTGGGATTGTTGTCAAGGTCCATTCGGCAAGAGTCAAGTTCCAATTTTACTAAATTGAGTTTGGAGTTAATCCAAGTGAATTCCTTTTTACATCTTTCCTTGAGAATCTTCTTCAATAATTTGAGCTTCTGAACCGCATAATACATTGATGTGCCTTTGATGAAGGTGCTCTATACTTCATAGACTGATGGAAGAAATTGAGGATGGGAACTCTATATATTGAAGTACTTGAAAGGTATACATCTGTTTGGAAGGTGAAAATCTATGGAAACTAAGATGGGGCTGTGATCTGAGATGCCTGGGGGCAAAAAGCTGCATTCAGATAGTGGAAATGAATTTGTCTAACTTTGGTTCACCAAGGCTAGATTTAACTTCTGTGCTATGTGATAAGCGCCGAATATTGCATATTCAAGCGTGTTGATCAAAATCCCTAATCCTTTGATTTTGATGATAACAAATCAATAATGATGTGTTTTTCTAATGGTTTAAATGAGTTTTAATGCAAGGAAATGGAGATCCTGTTTTAGAAAGAGTGGAAGGGATTTTAAGTCATCATGTGGTCTCCCAAAGCATCAAGAGGTTGCATATGCTCTTCTATATGATCATCTTACTATAAATGTACAGTCAAAGTATGTCAAATGAAATTCAAAGAGTCAATATTTGCTCTTGATCATCTTAAAAAAAAAAAGAGCCTAAAACTCAAAAGTCAAGCAGCACATGTCGACCGGTTTGGTACAACATGTCGACCGGTATCTAGGCAGTGACAAAATTCCAAGTTGAAGCTCACACATGTCGATCGGTTTGACACACATGTCTACCGGTATCTAGGCAGTAGCAAATATCCAAAATTGAGCTCAGTACACGTCGACTGGTTCAGCAAACACATCAACAGAATCATGAAGAACACGTCGACCGGTTTGCAGCACATGTTGACCGAGTTGAAGCACATATCGACCGGTTTATTCTACATGTCGACCAGTTTGGTCGCAGGTCTGCAGATTCAAATTTGTAATAGCTATATCTTCATTTAATGCTCTCATCTACCTACAACAGCTCTATTGAATTCGAGATATCTACAAATACTCAAGGTGATCATTCAAGAGCATTCAAAGAGCCTGAAATTCAGATCTGAGCTTTTTCTTCTCATTTTCTTTCTCATATCAGTTCAGAGACTAGAGCTTCATTTATTTCATCTACTTACCTTAGTATGAGAATTATCCTTGTAATATCTTCCAGAAAGAGAGAGAGAGAGAGAGAAACATTATTGTAATCTTCATTTTCATATCTCTACTATCTTGTAAGGGTTGGTGTGACCCAAA